TAACGAAATGTTGCTTCATTGAAAAGTATTTCAAATAACAATCGTAATTTTTTTTTTAATATATAAATTATTTATTTTCTATATAATGTTTTATATATATATATATATATATATATATATATATATATTTTATATTTTGTATGATCTCTCTTTTTTCCAATATTAAGAAAAATAATATTTAATTATAAAACTAATGTCTGCATACGCATCTTACTTGGATATTTATTTGTTTTTTGTTTTTTTACAAAAGAAGAATCTTTTTATAATATAATTTGAGAAAGCCTGTATTATCATAATTCTTTCTAAAAAATCGACAAAATGGCCATAGCTTATAGAACATCATTTTGTTTAAAATTCATTATTCTCTATTTTTTAGTAGTTGTGAAATATTGTATTGACATTGTATATCGCAAGATCGTTTTCGTCAATATTAAGTTTCCTCTCTTCTAATAGTTTACTTATCGTTCTGTCAGTAAACTTCTCAATAATGTTAGCAATTGATAGCCGATGAAACAAGCATCAAACATTGACAAAAGATTTCGAAGGGCATATAATCTATTTAATTAATTTTATTAAGCTTATATGTTTGTACTCTATTTAAATGTACTAAAAACAATTGACTGTTCTCAAAATATTTCTGCACGGAAAATTTTTTCATATACGTGCGAAAGTTGCGAATTACAAATTAAATAAGAGTATATAATTCTCTAAGTTTCACTTTACATACACATGAATTTATATTTAAGTAGATTATGAATAAATTGAATAGACTTGCTAAACTTTTACATTCAATCTCCTATAAGAAAGATACATAACATTTTTTCGTGAATAACAAAATTGAATTTCATATAACGCGAAGAAAAAAGATATATATTGAACACTCTCTTCTTTTACTATTTTTCTTGTACAATAAATAAAAAATATTTTATGTAAAATGTATATAATATATTCCCAATTAATTTTGTTAAAAATTGTTTAGTTCAGTATTTTATCATTAAATATTTCAGAGCATACATATATGCATTCGTATTATTACACTATTTCCAAGTATAAATTATTATATGTAAAAATAAATAACATATTTTACATACATGATGACATACATACATTTAGATTTTCGCTAGAGAATAATAGTAAGCATCTATTTAAGAAATCTTTCAGATAAAATAATCAATAATATACTTTAGCGCATGACACAAAAATCAGTTTAGCAATAAACTATATTGTGATAGAATAATGCCTTTTCTCTTTGCCCACGTTAAAAGATATTTTCTTCATTTGCACTGATTTTCACGCCTTGATCTCCAATCATTTTTCCATTATCCCGCCTTTACGCACGCTTCCGAGGATATTTTGCGCGTACAATCTTTAACCTTCACCTTTTGTCCTTGATTCTTGTGCCTTGAACTTCGAAGGGAGAATTCTTAATGGGTTACACATAGACTCGGAAGGACGAGAGTTATGCGCTTTTCCGTAACAGTTAAAGATTCATGAATCTCGGGATAGAAACAAAACAGTCTGTTTTATCTTAGGCTTTATCGACTTTTACATTTCCTCTTTTTTTAGGAAAGAACTCGATTCTTATCATCTGTTTGTGTCCGTGAACATTAAAAAAAACTTGTTAAAATAATTCGTGATGATTTCGTAAATCCATTTAATATTTAATATCTAATATTTAAAAGTTTCAAAAAATGTTTAAAATTTTATTATTTTAAATTTTAAAATAATAATCATTTGTATATAATTTATCTATAATTTTTCATTTTTATTTGTATATTTTAATCAGTCGTAATTATATAATCATAAGTTCTGTAAGAGAAAACCAGAATGAAAAAATTTTTGGTCTCTTTATTTCCATTTTTTTATGTAATAATTTCTTATTTATATAAAAGTATTTATAATTTTGACTTTAAAAAATTTTGTTATTTTGGCGATTCATTTTTAGCGATCTGAAAAATCCTTAAATTTGAATTAACATATTGGAAAGTATTTGCTAGACTTTTAATATATATGTAATTCATAATTTTTCTGCAATGCACACCCTATATTTATATTAATTATAATTATTTTATTAATTATATAATCATCATTAAATATAATAAATTTTTTTAAGTTTAGCACACTTTTATTTGATTACAACGAAATTTTCAAATCTCATTATTATCGCACGTATGATAATTATAACATAGTGAAATACATTAAAATTACTCTTTTTCAATTTTAACCGTAAATTTCTTAAAATAAAAATTATGACATAATAGAACAATTTGGATTTAAAATACTATTTATAGAAAACTACATGAAATGATCATCCACTTTCTTGTGTTCGAACAAAAATTATGTTTTGTTAAACTGTATAATTAATTTATAATCGCATAAGTTATAAAATTAATTGATAATTGTGTACGAAATGAAAGAGAATATTTAAATACAATATTCTATTATAGAATAGATATAGTTCTAATGAACACTAAGAAAAGTATTAAAACACCGTTTATGTTACTTTATTAATTGTTATGTCTGAAAAGAATTTATGTTAAAAGAATCGTATAGCGCATATAATTTCTGTTTCCACTTATTTTATATCTCGTTTTTCGTCATTCTGCTTTTCAAAAGACTCTTTTTTTATAATTCTGTACGAAATGTTTTATCCGGAATATCACTTGTCTCGAGGCAACAACGTGATCAATTCAGTCCTCGTGTTGCTTGTTGCGAAACAAGCTTATTGAAGTAAAAGTGGAGACTTTTCGTTTACCAAAGCAACCAAATAAGAGGGAAGAAATATTCATGGAAGAAAATAAGAAATATTCATATTTTGTAGTCTTTTATGCACTTCGCGTATCTAACAATATAATAATGATTGTAAATCACTATCTTTAAAAGTGAGGTTCTTTGAAGTTGTTTTCAGAAAACTCATGAATCGTTTTTTTAGAAAGAAATTTTCTTGACTTTAAAATTCTCCTCTAAAGATTTATTTTGCATACTTTTGTCATTTTTTACCGATCTTGATATTTTTAGTATTATTGACATCTATAAAGTATGAAATAAATTTTTTAAATGTATTAAGATAAGAAATGATCATATTTTCGGCTTTCTGTGGAACAGAAAACTCGTCAGAAAATTTCTAGGAAATAATATTTGTGAAACTATCGCGCATAAATTTAATTGAAATTTTCGCCGGCCATCATATCTTATAAGCATAAAGAGCATTTTAGCTAAATAATGCACATTTTGCATAACGTATTTTATTATATGTGATGTATTTTTCATCAGAAAAATATTCGTCCCTTTTCCGACTATTTCGCTCTCTGGAATACACGTTTAGCGTGTTAATACGATATATAAAGCACGATAGCGCGCATTTTAAAGAAAGATTTTTCACATGCCATATACGCCCACGTAGCGCACGTTTTTCTCGACGCATATGCATAAATGAATCAATATTAAATCTTTTCTTTCAACTTTCTTTTTTCGTCTTTCGAACGGATGTACAAATGGCAATTTGATTGATTTTCGATACTCAACGCGCGTGCGGATTTTCCAACATTTGCCGAGAAAGACGTGCTATTTGCGATAATATCGATCGTATAAAGATCCTCGGGACGGGAATTGTAATTAGTAGTCGAGATGCATTCCAACTCCCGGCTATTTATACGCGAACACGAACGAGTCTGCAAGCATTAAGGAGTAGACGTAGGACACGGAAATCGCACAAGGCAGATATCTCATGTCGATAAGAAATAGGAATAACGAGAGATATACTGATATAAGGATTTTTATTTATAACCTAATTTTTTAATTCTGGTTTCAAAGAATTCGTTATTCAAATGCATCTCGCTATTATGAAGCATTTCTTGAAAAAATACCAATTATGTATTTTAATTGTACTATGTAATGTAAATTTATATAATTATAATTACAAATAAAATTTATAATCTAATAATATAATTTTAGTATATATGCATATATATAATGTTGAAATTATTTTGTGCTTTAATTTAACTAATTAGAAAGAAAATGTAAAAAGCCTTAAGGGGTCAAGCCTAATCATAAAAGTGAAAAAAATTCATTTTTAGGTTTTTACATTTTTTGCAGTATATCTAAAACATATTGAAAATATTTTCTAAAAATTTCAGTTTTATCGGATGGAAATTGACGAAGTTATAAGTGTATATGAAGCGCCAGAAAGGATGATTTCATTTAAACACGACTATAAAGCTTTTTTTTCATCTGATGACTATCAAGCCAATAAAATTTAAATTAAATATACTAAAATTATATATTTCGGGTCCGGAATAGATGATTCTATGTAAGTTAAAAACATCTACATTTTATTTAAGCGTAAACTTGATACAAAATTTCAAACGCGTGTTACTCGAAATCACTTTTTCAAAGTCGGTGAGCAAGATATTTCGAAAAGCGTTCCATCGATTTGCTTGAAATTTTACAGGTTTCTCCTACACATAAAACACTAGTAAATGAACAAAAGATTTTTTATTAATAAACACTTTTATTTTAATAAAAAAAAGAACGATTTTTAAGTCGAAAAAGAATATCTTACAATTAGTGTTAAATGATTGCTATTTTGTTCCAAAAAACAATTTTTCGATTAACTCTTTGTTCATCTACTGGACAATTTTCTACATTAACTATATTTTATCGAATTTTTGATATCAGATGAATCAGCTTCGAATAGCACTGTTCACTCCGCGCAGCGCTTTTTAAAAAACAATATCCGAAAAAATAGGTATAACTTTTATATTTTTCAATATTTTATTGGAAAAAATAACATTCTTAATATTTGCACTTTTAAATAAAAATTTTATTTGTAAAAAAAAATAATTATTACAGTTTTTAAAAAAATTCCCAAAAATCATTTTTTTCGGCCAGTTGACTAGGCATTACCCCTTAAAAGTCTTAAAATAAAATTTAAAATTTAATATATATTTATTAAGATATGCAATATATAAATGTTATATATCTTTTTTTTTATATTTTAGCTAATATATTCGATAAGGTTGATGGAGAAATCAAGAAACTCGTTGGTTTGCGGGCTAATTGCGTTGGTGGTGGAAGAATTGAGCATGATCCTGATGAAAAAACTATCAAAGTTTATGGATATTCGCAAGTAAGTCCCAGGATTTATTGAAATATTTTCATTTTAAATTATTTTTACGAATTTCTAATTAATTTAATAAATATAAAAATTGTATATATATATGTATAATTTGTATATATATATATATATACAGGGTGAGGCATCTAAAACAGGCCACCTGAATAACTCCGTTGGTAAGCCGAATACAAAAAAATTGTTCAGACAAAAGTTGTATGGTTTCAAGGGGGACATATGATGGTGTCATTAGTTTAATCTTGAAGAGCCATCCGAAGGTCACGTGAAGGTCAGCTCCAACTTTTTAAATGGGACACCTTATATGCTTTTGCATATTCTTGTAGCTCATCTCAAGAGCTTTCCAAAACACTATAATTAAGTTAGTTTTCATTAAGTACTTTCCAAGTTATGAGGCTTGAAATCATTTTTTAATTTTACATAAACCGTAAAATATCTAGTAAACCATTCATTTTTCGATTATCTTACCTTGATACTTTTATGTACAAAATAATGAGAGGAATCAATTGGTGTAAAGAAAACACATAGTTGTTTCTAAGAAAAAATATGGAATTTGCAATTAACAATTCCATATTTTTTGTTAAAAACAACTGTATGTTTTCTTTACACCGATTGATTTCTCTCATTATTTTGTACATAAAAGTATTAAGGTAAAATAATCGAAAAATGAATATTTTACAAGATATTTTACGGTTTATGTAAAATTAAAAAATGATTTCAAGCCTCATAACTTGGAAAGTACTCAATGAAAACTAACATAATTGTAGTGTTTTGGAAAGCTCTTGAGATGAGCTACAAGAATATGCAAAAGCATATAAGGTGTCCCATTTAAAAAGTGGGAGCTGACCTTCACGTGACCTTCGAGTGGCTCTTCAAGATTAAACTAATGACACCATCATATGTCCCCCTTGAAACCATACAACTTTTGTCTGAACAATTTTTTTGTATTCGGCTTACCAACGGAGTTATTCAGGTGGCCTGTTTTAGATGCCTCACCCTGTATATATATATATATATATATATATATATATATATATATATATTATTCAATCAACAAAAATTTCACAACAGAAGTAAATGATTCACAAAAAATAAACGATTATTTATGCAGCGCAATATTCCATTAGAAATAACTATTCTTATAGTTATTTTTAATGGAATATTGCGCTGCATAAATAATTATTTATTTTTCGTGAATCATTTACTTCTGCTAAAATTTTTGTTGATTGAACTTATATTTTATCTGTCAAAATAAATAATATTAATAATTTATCAACATCAGACTGTGATCTATGTCTAAATAATATTTTAAATACACAATTTTGTATTGCATCACAATACATAACGGCATAGATATTTTTACTTCATATTTTTGCTTATCACAAGTTTTACGCCTCCGCAGCATCAAACTTTAGCAGATTAAATTTGCCTTGTCCGAAAGTATCTCACGCAATCGAATAGAAAGTTTTATGTGTTCTATCAGCGAGTTATACGTAGATAAAAGAACACCTAGCGTTCTTATTTCTAATATTTTTATATTACATTATATAAATGCAATTAAACAAATATATAATAAAAAAATACTTATAATAAAAAAAATTATTTAAACAGAATATTACCCATACGGAAAATAATTGGTATTAGATATCCACTAGATATCCTTCATGAGCATTAAGAATATCCATGAATACAAAAAAACATATTTGTTAATAGTCATCAGATGCTGTAGATATGTCCAAATGTTCGTAATTCGAAGTTTCATAGATATCTACAGAATATGTAAATCAATCTATATAAATATCCACTGAACATTATACGGATATCCTGTAGATATCCGTATAATGTTCAGTGGATATTTATATAGATACATTCATTAATATAAATACATTTACTATTATGTATTAATATTTATTTTTGCATAGATATTTATTCTATCTTCTATGATACATATATGACGAAAGTTGCCATAAAAAATAATTAACCTGCAGTTAATTTTTAGAATTCTGAGGCTCCTCTTACAAAAGATAGAAGAGATACGGCTATAACAGTCTTCGAACTAATGCGCTCTTTGACCGATAAGCCATGACTCGTGGGGCCTGTGCCGCGACCTTATATACATATACTGTCTTAGGGCCTATCCAGACAAACTTGCATAGGTGCATATGCATAACATAAGACCATATGGACCAATGAGCATCGAGTATTAAATCGCTATATTGACTTACATAACATAATACTCGATGCTCATTGGGCCATATGGTCTTATGTTATGCATATGCACCTATGCAAGTTTGTCTGGATAGGCCCTTAAATGGGTCTTACTTTCGGATTAAGCGTTTTCCTTTTCGCCACCTAGCAGCAAGATATGAAACTCGTGGAAATCCATTGGAATATCCATTGGATATCTTTGGTAGCTACTTAATGAATATACACTCAGACTCAAAAAAACGGGCTATTAAATTTTAGCAAAATTTTTTAACATCTTTTAATGGCAACAAATCAGCAAAAATCACCGTATTGATATAAAATAAAGTTCAAGTTAAACAGTCCTCTTAAAAACTAAAAAAAAAAAAACAAATTTGAGTTACAAAAAATGTTTTACAAAATGAATACTGAAGATAGACTTTGAGAAATAGAAAACAATTTTTTTTTAAACTGCTGCATTGTTCAGGAAAATCGGCTTCCTGTTACAAAAATGTTTTTAAGCTTATTTATTTTTTAACAAATTCATATTTTTATAAATTTTATACGACCTTTTTTGATAAAGTTATATTATTTTAAAGAAAATGTTACAAAATGAAACTTTCCTTATAAAATCTACAATTCAGAAACAAATTATCATGGAAAACTTTTTCAAAAAGGAAATTAAAGTGTTACTTGATCCAAGATGCTTCACATAGAGATAGACGGTCAGATTTAAATCTTTCCCCAAAACGATATAACTTTGATCAAAAAAGATCGTAGAAAATTGATTAAAATATGACTTTATTAAAAAATGAATGAGCTTTTTTAAAAACTCATATAATTTTATACCAGGAAACAAAAATTTTTGTAAAATTTTTGTACTAGTTAAAAAAATATTTGTTTTCCATTTCTCAAAGTCTATCTTTAACGACCGTCATTTTGAAATATTTTTTGTAAAATATTTTTTGTAATTCAAATTTATGTTTTTGCTTTTTAAAAGAAATGTTCAAGCTCTATTTGTTTCATCTTCTAATACGATGATTTTTCGTTGATTTACTGTTATTGAAAATGTTAAAAAATTGTGCTAAAATTTAGTTTATTAGATATCTATTAGATAAATTTTTCCGTGTGGGTAATAACATTTCATTGTTTTTAAATTTCAACTAAGTTTAAAGAGCACACATACTTTTAAATAAAATTAATGATTTAATGTTGAAGCATTTATCTTATTGAAAAGTATCGCAAAAATTTTATTATTTTACATAATTTGCCATGGAAAGTTCTGCGAAGCGTATAAGTGCCAGAAATCTCGAAGCTCTGCTCGATCTGATTGACCTTTAAGTGTAAAATTATAATTGCATTTACACAACTCAGAAACATTCATTGTCTAATACTTTCGTAGCGTTCCTAGATCTTATTGAGCGATTTTATTTTTTCATTTTTTAAAGTAAGCAATATGAATTAATTATTATTCTCGCAAGCAATATGAATTAATTATTATGGACGTCTAAAAATATCTAATTTTTATATTGCACATACACACATATACATATAATTCATCTATGCTATACTAGACTAGCACTATACTAGTATTGTTCTTTTATTTATCAATTTTCTTATACTTTTATTTGAAATAAAACTTTCTTGAGGAACTTTTATAACAACATAGTATCTTTTACTAAAACTTTTAGTAAAAGAGCCTTTTAACATTTAACATTTAACTATTATTACGATTAAATTTTAAATGGATTCTTTGGTTTTGTTTTATTTATTATGACAAAAGAATATATATTATTATAATTAAAAATATAATTACTTTAATCAATATTTAAAAAATAAATTTTATTTAAATTTTGCAAATTGTTCTTAAATATAGTATAAATTTTATTATTGTATGTATTTAATTAGTAATTTTTGTTATTAAATCACAGCTTGTATAAATAAAAATAATCAGACTATTTTTTAACAAATCAATAATCTATTTAACAAATATAATTGCAAAGTTGTTTCTAAATAAATGAAGAAATATATGAAGCTAAATATTTATATTATCTTGAAAGAAATATTTTATATGGATAGCGTTTATAACGAATCAATATTTTATAAAGGAGTGGAAGCATTTTATATCACTCACCGAGAGTTTAAATCGGAATTCGCCATCCACCTTAAAAAGTGAATAATTTGTATTACGAAAGGCGAGCAAAAGATTGATAGGGAATATTTTTACACCGATTAAAAGATTAAAGAGATTAGAAGAGAGATTTGAATATTAAAAAAAAGAAGATATGAGAGAAAAATACGAGAGAATATATATTGTAAGCTTGAAGGCTGCTCTCCTTGAATCTAATAATGTTGCAGAGAAAAAAACAAGTAAGAGTTAACGGTCCGAATGATAATAACTCAAATTAATAAAAGAAAGATTTAGGACCGTAGCATAGGACCGTAGCATACGAAATAACAAATCAAAAAACAATTCCAAGACAGAAACCTCGTATATTAATAGGCTAGTTTAATGAGTAAAATTGTTTGTCAAAGAAAAAATTCAAATAACAAATTGCAAATAGACAAACGTACGTTTCAATCCTATACATATCCTTTTCAATGTCTTAACAATTCAAAACAATATAGTATAACGCAAACAATTACAAAAGCGAGCGCTATAATCTAACAAAAAAGATCAGATGGACATTTAGAATGGTTAAAAATTTTTAAAAAAACGCAAGAACAATGGTTGAAAATAAACGTGGTCAAAAATGGTCAGAAACGCAATGTCAGTAACGCATGTATAAGTAAAATTAATGAAATGTTAAAAATATATGGCTATACAATGCTATAAAGAAGGCACAGCTCATTTCGCTATCAAAATTATAAACGCTATATAAGAAATTGGAAAGAGAATGTGTCTCGTTTCAATCCTTCGAATCCGTCCGAAAATAAAAATTACACGTTGTCCAAAGAAATAAGATAGATCGTAGTGATAGTATAAAATTTAAAAATTATAATCCAATGATGTAAATATGGAAATCCGTCTAAAATCCAATCTCTCAAAGCGCATCAAAGAAAATGATTTGAAATTAACGGATAACGAGGTGGCAGCTGGCCTATAAGCAAAAATCAGACTGATGCCTTGTCTCGATCTCCCTTGTTATCATATTCCTTCGTCACATCCTTTTCGTCTTGACTTTCTCGACCTGATTTTTGCTTATAGGCCAGCTGCCACCTCGTTATTCGTTAATTTTAAATCATTTTCTTCCACGCGCCTTAAGAGATTGGATTTTAGAGGGATTTCCATATTTTACATCATTAGACTATAATTTTCAAAAATTTTATCACTACGACTCTTATTTCTTTGGACAACGTGTAATTTTTATTTTTGGACGGATTCAACGAGGAATTAAAACGAGACATGTTCTCTTTCCGATTTCTTGTATAGCGTTTATAATTTTGATAGCGAGGTGAGCTGTGCCTTCCTTATAGCATTGTAAAGCCATACATTTTTAACATTTAAATTTTTCTTATGCATGCGTTACTGTTTCTGATCGTGTAATACTGTTTTTAATCGCGTTTATTTTCGATCATTGTTCTTGCGTCTTTTAAAAAATGTTTAACCGTTCTAAATATCCATCTAACCTTCTTTGTTAGATTATAGCGCTCGCTTTTGTAATTGTTTCGTCATACTATTGTTTTGAATTGTTAAGACAGTGAAAAGATCTGTATAGGATTGAAACGTACGTTTGTCTATTTGCAATTTGTTATTTGAATTTTTTCTCAGACAAACAATTTTACTCATTAAACTAGCCTATTAATATACGAGGTTTCTGTCTTTGAATTGTTTTTTGATTTGTTATTTCGTACTTACACCCTATGCCACGGTCCAAGCCTTTTTCTTTTATTAATTTGAGTTGTAGAGAAAGTTGAAGAGATTTTAATTCTATTTTGAATATTTCATATATCATTTTTCATGTATTATTTCGTGTATTGTTTATTCATTACTACAAACAATAAATATGTATTTTGATTATCAATTTCTTTAAAAATATTCCGGAACTTGTGAAAATGGAATGATTTTATTAGTAACAGTTAAATAAAAAGGACTAATATGAAGAATGATATTATTCTAGAGAAAATTTAATGAAAAATGCCGAGTGTTGTTTTATCAATATCTAATGGTATCAAATATGTATTTTATAGACAGATTTATAATTGTATAAATTATAAAATAAATATTGTATAATTGATAATATCATTTATAATATTCTATAATTGATAATCATTCACGTATCACACGACTCTTATCTAATATATTTTTTGTTAATATAGAATGATTTTTGATATTTCAATCTGTATCTTTTAATCTATTATATGTACAATTTTATTATTATTTTATATGTACAATTTTATTATTATTATTACATAAATACAGATTTATATTGAGATATATTCATCTTTGCTAAACAATATCCAAAAGACGACATCTCGAAACATTTTCAGTTTAACATTTTCATTCCAAAAACAGCTTCGGGATATCTTCTGATCTTTTGGATATGTACGCTGTCTGAGTTATTATTTTTAATGCACTATTTTTTACTCTCAACGTTTGCTTTTATTCACTTCTAAAAAATTTTTTATTTTGATACAAAAGTCTACATCTAAAAATTTTTATTTTCCTTCTTTTTACATTTTCCTTTTACTTTTCGTGCGCATTATATCAGCTCAATCAGCTATAATCAGCTCAAAAGTTAAGCTTCTTTTTTTTTCAAGCTGAAAATATAATATAAAATTTATTTTCTCACTCACACTGGCGCGCACGCGCGCACATACACACACGCACACGCACAATTTATTATTTTAGGACAAATTTTGTTGTATAAAGATTTGACAATATTATATATTAATTTTAACTAAATAATTCTATATTAATCTATATCTATATTAATTATTAATTTATTTTACAGGGATTTGGTAAAGCTGATCATCAAGTGTCAGTTGAGTTACTGAAGAAAAAATATCCCGATTATAACATTACATGCTCAGACGAAGGTTACTAATCAACAAATAAACTATAGCTTATATTCTTTTTGCTTGCTTTTCTTCAATTTAACGGATATAAAAATTAAAACGCTTTGCTTTGTATATTATTTATAAAATGTATATACATATTTGAATAAAATTAAATGTGCTCTAATCATCTACAAATTTTATAAAATATATAATATATTAAAATATAAAACGTGTCTAGCGCAAGAGTTCAAGCATAATAATGATATGATGTTATTTGTCAGTATATTACACCTGTGTAACGTATATTTACAGTATGAGTATATTCGAAAGATATCATGTGCTGTGTGGGCAGTGAAAATGCAACATACTTTTTGTTTCAATAAATACAATTAAACGCAATATAAAGAAAAGTTTTCGCATTGCTCTTGCTAAAATATACTTTTTATTCTACATAATATTATTGGTAACATAACTATAAGTGTTGGTAATGTACCGACGCTTTTAGTTATATTCAAGTAAGGGCGTCTCCATCATAGTTCGGCTGCGACTCCAGTATCCTCTTAATCTTGATTATTTTAATTTTATTCATTCTTTTGACATTACTTTCTGATCAATTGCGCTTTTTTTATTTAGTCTAATCATTAAGTTCTGTTATTTTATCTTTTAAGCTTTTATTTCATGGTGTTTCTGTATAATATTTTTATATTCCAATATACATATACATACATATATATACCCACATAGCACATTATACTAAAAAATAACGAAAAGATGTCCTTTTTAAGTTATCTTTTCGAGAAAACGAAAAGATATCTATAAAGACATCTTTTTGGTTTGTCGAAAAAGATGACATAAAAAAGACATAATAGTATGTAGCACATGTGTTTTCGCTTGCCGCTACGCGGTCATTCTTAACTTATTTCGTATTTAATATTTATCACGAAATGTATATAAAGAACTAGTAATTAATATAAGATCTGAAGCATATTCTTGTTTTTTACGAGCAGTAATGCTACAAAGAGGATACTGATCACATGTATCAATCAGAGAGAGCCGCATTGCCACATATACATGTGCTACGTAGAATTATTGTATGCGTGTGAGCCGCATCAGTTTCCTGACATTACTGTTTATTAGTTTAATTTGACAAATTGAATTTAAAATAATTTATTTAATAATCTGAATTTCTTGTTGGGATTCAAAATATTAAACAGATTATTAGAAATTAGGTGGATAAATGGGAAAAATAATTCATTTATTGCGTGTATTGAAGTATTCCTATTACCAAGAGTAGATAATCTATAGAATAAATCAAGTCATCTTTTAGTCATTATATGGACGAGACAAAAAGTGACTCAATTCGGGTCATGAGACGGCTTTTAGCCATTTTTCCGTCGACTTAACGATGTCAATAAAAGATGTCTGTGACAAAAATATGTTCAGTAATACTTTAGATGACTCGGTATTGCAGTTTTCTATTATTTTTGTAACCGAGACGTAACAATCAATTATTTTAGGTAAACGATAAAGACAATTACATCAATTATTTTAACCGAGTTTTCAAATTTTGTCTCCACAAGATACTATTAAAAATCGATTTTTCACCGTCGAGATACTATTAAAACCCAATGGTGATCTTACGGGATTTAGCGTGACTGAAAAAAATTTGCAACGTGCTACTGTAGGTAAATCTTTGCATTGATGATAATAAAATAATGATTTGATATAATAAATTGTTCATTTTGTTATTCTTGAGATAGGTATATAAAAGATTTATACATTTTTGATAATAAAATGGCTGTATGATCTAAAATACTTGTATGATTTAAATAGTTCTTGTAATTATCTTCAATCAGAGAGAAGACTGAGAGGTGTCATGGCCCGCTTTTATTTATTTTTTTTTTTTTTTATTGAGCAAAAGGCAAGCTTTGGCGGAACGCCATACAGCTAAATACATGTAAGATATATCGTCTGTTGGTAAAAATTATCCCTAGATAAGCATATTGGAGTCGTATGTTAGACTATTTGAGTATTATCGTAACTTATATAATTAAAACTAAAAAAAAATATAAATATAATTAAAACTAAAAAAAAAAATATTCTTTTAACAGTCATAATATCAAAATCATAATCATAATCATAAGTTTTTAGAAAACGACTAGAAAAACAATCAGATAAAATTAATCGTGTTTTCCAATAGCTTAAATTATTAGCGTTATGTTTAGAAATATATATATATATTTTATATAAAGGAAGAGATATTTAAAATATTTTGCAACATCTATATTTTTCGAATATATATATATATATATATATATATATATATATATATATATATATATATATATATATATATATATATATATATATATATTCGAAAAATATAGATGTTGCAAAATATTTTAAATATCTCTTCCTTTATATAAAATATAAAGAATTTATATGTTCTATTCTAATATAGTCAACATTATTATATACTTTTATTATAATTTTCTTACCAGTATAATATTTTTATGCTTAATATTTTATATAATATAATGTACTAAATTATAAAATTTAATATACAAAATATTACAAAATAGTATTATTATTAATAAATAGATTGCACACTGTCTTTTAGTTTCTAATTATTTTCAATCATTATGCATTTCTATCCAATAGAAATCTCCTCTTCTTCGAGTTCTTGGATTATTATGGTTTATTGTATTCTTTTGTGTTAAAATTATAAAAATTATCATCATTTGTGTCATGCTTATTCCTTCCTATGAAGTCCATCGAAATACTTTCTATTTGTTCTCAGGTATAGATATTCAAATCACTGTAGTTGCCTTTTTCTCGATTATTCCCTTTTTCTTTCATTTTATTTAAAAATATTAATATAATTAATATAACAAATATTTAAATAATTTTGGTATTTCTCTTAGTCTGACATTTCCCCTTCGACATGTCCGGCATAGATGACGCTATCAATAACTACGATCGGTATTCATTTCACTCACTTTTATATTTAAGATCATACTTAAAATTATCTTAAATATAAGAAAAGTCTATACGAATATCGGTGTATGTTACCGCCGGCATAGCTCTCAGGCTCATTAAAATACTCAAACCTCCTCAGCCGGCAAATGCCTTCCTTAAGATGGAGATATCATCGAGAAGGCAAAATTTTTCATTTTCTTTCACTACAGAATTTAATACAAAAAGTTAATGTAAAATATAATATTATATAATTTGAAATGTAATAGAAAATAAATTAACAATCCTTTTTTTTTTACGTGGGGAAAAAAAACTCTCTTAGAAAATACTCAAAAAATATTGATCCCTTAAAAATTCTTAATATTAATAATATAATTATTGAGATATTTATTAATTTGTTTTCCCTAATATTATTTAAACCTACGTTTCCTGATTCTTTAAAAGATACATAATATAATATAAAATCAGCTAAATTAATCACATAATAACCCTAACAATCCTTTACTTTTTGAAAGGAAAATTAAAAAATCTTAATGATCACCTAATAGCCCTAACAATCCTATTTCTCGATTAAATGAAATTATTCGAGGAAAGCCTATCTCTAATCACGTATACTTTAATTACGTGCTCTAATTACATTCTCTAACCGCATGCCCTAACCGCGTGAATAAATGTCCGACATTACGTACTATTGTACGTAAAGCTTTTCTTCAGGCCAGTTGAACTTACTTTTCATTGATCCTGGCCACTTTCTCGCTCGATCTCTAATCAGAGATCGAAAAAGGAGATAAACACTCCTTCTTTTGCCGATTAATTACCGGCAAATGAGCGTAAATATTTCACGCTCATCGTAACGATCGCTCGATTTTACAATCGTTTCTTAAATATTTGAATATAACTTTATTTTAACTCAAATAAAGCCAAATTACTACAAATTTCTATATACTATATTTTCTAATAAAATATAAAATTCATGTATGTGTATAACTTTTATGATATTACAAATTATTTACTTAATTAATCGTTTGGCTTTATTTTAAGTTAAAGTAAAATTTAAAAACAATATCTACAAACAAATTCTACAATGGATGAGCTATGATATAAGAAATTAGAATAAAATAAGTGCGCGTTATAAGAATAAAGTAGTATCAAAAATTGATAAAATTGTTAAAATTATTAATGCGTGCTCTTGATTTAATAAACTAGTCAAGACTTTATAAAAAAAATTTTCTTTTCTTGATTCTCTTTTTTAAATTAATACTTCAATATATTTTCGCAATAGATGCAAAGCATTTCGAAAGAATTTATTAAAAGTTATTTAATTTAATCTATCCTAGCTCATCCATTTTAAGGGAACGGACTTACTCTACAATTCACAATCTACAATCTACAATCTACAATCTACAATCTACAATCTACAATCTACAATCTACATCTACAATCTCTACGAATCCGTTACCTTAAAGTTAAATAAAAGTTAAATAAAAGTTTTTCTCACTCACCAACACTGATGCGCAACAGCGGAGTTATATTTATCGAAGCTACGTTGTCTGTAACATACAAATATAAAATTCATTTATATTAATGCTCACAAAATGCAATCAATATTTCGAAAAATTTTTATCGCGCGGAATTTTATATCCGATGTGTAAAATAATAAGCAGAGATAAACACGTGTGGAAAATTTTTATAAAATTTTAAAACTGTTTTTTAAGAAAGTTTTTTAAAAAGTTTTATATAACTTTTATAAAAATCTTTCTCTCTAATTTTCTCTTTAATTCATTTAAATAATAAGATCGAATTATTATGCGTACGATTTATAACAATTGATATACAAATAATAAATATTCACCATCAAGTTGCTCCGCCGATGCAAGATGCCTCTCCCAGACCTCCTCCTCCTCTCATGTTGTTGACGCGCGATACTTTCAACGGCACTCCCGCACTCACGAGCGATATTTTTATATCGCTATTTTCGTTATTTTACGCGCGATACTGAACGGCACTCACGCACTATTTCGATTAAATGCGATTAAAAATTTTATGTTTGATCGCGCGATGTATATACTTAATATGTATATACCTTTAACGGCACTCCCTAATATGTATATACCTAACGCGACGCGTTAACGAAGCGCTTGCCGTCCGCGGCACGTTGACGGCACCGACGACGCGAAAAGGTACTTA